AGGCTGCCGGGGAGCTGCTGTAGTCTGAGATTTTTTTGTCAGCGGCTTCCCTGGCAGCCCACCCCCTCCCTTTCACCGCATTGGGGTCACGTGTGCTGATGGGGTCAGTGATGGTGACGTCCCCGATCCATACTGCCCCTGAAGACCGTTCACGAATGGCGAGGTCCGCTGTCTTCCTAGTGACCGGGCAGAACTCTCTCTCTCTCTCTCTCAAGCAGTCCTTCAGTGATAGGTTCATAGGGGTACAGGCATGGTAGGAATAAAGCTAGACAGGCCTAGGCATTGGAGCTACTAATCATGCAAGGCAGGACGTGAAGCAAGCAGGACATCTGCACACAAACAAGCCGGTCAGGTGAGTCAGGCCAAGCAGCAGACAAGGCAAACAAGCAAGACTGGGCACTGCAAGGCAAGGCGCAGGAGCAGACGCCACACCGCGTGCTCCAAGGTGCGCAACTTCAGGAGCAGGAGCTGTCACCACAGCAGGCGCAGACACAGGATCAGGAGGGGGCGACATCCCCGCAGGCGCCGGAGCCGGTGCCGATACAGCGGGAGGGGCAACGACTGCTGACGCCACGGCAAAGGGCCTTGGCGAATACACGAGATAGTCCCCAAGCGCGACAGGCATCTCAGCGAGGCCGAGGCGCGGGGCAGCGGAACACGGGTGGACGAAACGGCGGACCGGAGAACGGGTTCCAACGAGCAGCGCGAAGGGCTTTAACTCGAGAAGCAGCTAATGAAGAGGAAGCTCGAGACGCTACTTATATTCCCACAGAGGTAGCTGAGTCCTCAGAGGAAGACGCAGCCGTAGAGGAATCGAGCCTGCCAGGGGAGAGAATCGCAACACCAAGCCAAACCGCATCGAGAAATTTGGCCGGCCCCCGAAACCGAACCGCATCTGGACAAATTTCCCGCTCCCGAGCCGCGCCAAATTCTGCACCAAGAGGTCGGCACGCCCCTCCTGGCCGAACCCAACCCACCACCACCCAGCCAACGCTCCCAACACCGCTGGAGGAAAAATCGCCAGAGGCACTGGCAGCTGATAACACGCTTTTCGCGGCCGTGGAAACTTGGGACTTGACGATACTCTGCGACACTCGCAACGCACCCCTGCCACGCCACCTCCCACAGGACATCCGCCCAATTTTTGCGACTGCGCTGCTAGCCCCTCTGCTCCGACTGGCTGACAACCCAGAATCACTGACAGCATGGACAGTTTTCCTGTTCCTCGCACGCCTGACGCTGAGACAACACACTCCTCAAAAACCGGATTGGCCAGCAGTCAGAGAAAGATTACGACAGTTCTTGGCGGGGGAGTGGAGCGCACTGTACTCTGACTTGCTCGACTCTCTGACCAACCCTCAAGCGCCCAGGCATACCCCCGACGACCTGGGAGTGATTGCAAGGGCAGAAGGCCTTGCGCGACGTGGCAGCCTAAGGAGAGCGGTTCTTGCCCTGGAGGCGACGCCGGTGTGCACCCCGTCACCAGCAATCCTGGAAGCACTACGCGCCAAGCACCCACCTGCTCCTGAAGCGCCCCTCATTTGGCCGGTACCTGACCCCAACGCCCACTTGACAGCCACCCTGCCTGAGTTTCTCAGAGTTCTGTCACGCTGTGACAATGGGATTGGGGCGGGCCCATCAGGTCTGACATTCGAGCATGTGCGAGAGGCGTGTCTAGTCAACCAGTCAGTAGCGACAAACATCCACGCAATGGTCAACACCATTCTGACAGGGAAACTGCCATCCCCAGTCGCCAGGCTCCTCACAGCGTCTCGCCTACTGGCTCTCTCCAAACCAGACGGAGGGACAAGGCCGATCGCTATTGGTGAAAGCATCACCAGACTCGCCGCCAAAACAGCTCTGATGTTGACAGCAGGGGCGGCAAGAAAATTCTTCATGCCACACCAGTTCGGCGTGGCGGTGCCCGGGGGAGCGGAGGCGGTTATCCACATCACCCGCGCCTACCTATCTGAAAATCCTCACGCACTAGTCCTCCAGGCAGACCTAGCCAACGCCTTCAACAGTGTCAACAGAGCTGCAATAGCATCCGCGCTAGACAACTCGGCTCTAGCACCACTACTACCACTAGTACAGCTCACCTACAGCTCCTGGCGGTTTCCGTGCCCTGGTGTCGCGCTGCTGGAGCACGGGGTTAGTCACCGTCACGTTTGTAGCCCAGGTCTCGTTTGAATCCTTGTCCCTAATCGCAAGGTCCCCCCTCTTCATGAGGATCGGTGGGGAAAAGGCTGATGTCTCGTGGAAGCACGTGAAGTCCGCTTCCCTTGCCATCCTGAGGGCCGCAAACACTAGTGCGTTGTGCGTTCTAACGACGTCCCCCCCGTACCCGCACCTAAGGAGATGGTTCGGCAGACTTGTGTCGTTGATGTCTGAATACTCTCTCTTGCAGGGACACTTCACAGTGACCGGCAGGGACATGCCCATGCAGAACCCCAGCACCAAGGAGAACTGACCAGGGGCAAATGTAAGGTCAGCTCTCGAAGGCACGGCATGTAGCCAGTCCCCTGCCCCCACCCCTTGCAGGCTGATGAGGCGGATGGCATGCCTGCGGTGTGTGCCTGGGCGGTCTGTGATCGTGTCAACCAGCAGTTCCACTGCTCGTCTCTCGTTGATGTGGCGGGAGAGTAGTAGCTGTAAGTTGCCCTGTCCTGCCGGCTGCTCCCTGAACGCCTGTAGTGCAGTTTGTGCAGTTGCCGGCAGGGCTGCCTCCAGTGGGGCTAGCTGGTTGACTCCAGGTGGGGCAGGGCTCCATGCATGGTCTAGCCGTGTGACCGCCCTGCTCAGTAGGTACGCCTCTGGCAGGTTCATCTGCCACAGTAGGGTGTGGGCTGCCGTTACCGATGCGATGTAGGCTGCCGGTGCTTCCGAGGTAGGGTCAATGATGCCTAGCCCCCCCAGCCTGACGGGAAGAGTTCCTTGCCGCCACAGCAGGCTCTGTTCCAGCTCACTCGCTGGGACCCGTAGCTTTGCTGCCGCCAGGGCTCTCGCCATCAGATTTTTGCTCCATGACCTCCACTCCTCCCTCTCCAGCACAGCAGCCAGGGTGGTCCGTAGCAGGTACGATATCCTGCGGGAGATGCTCCGCGAGAGTATTAGCATAGCGTGCTGTGGGTGCAGCTGAGCAATCAAAGGCAGCGGTGCGGACGCCTCTGTGAGTCTTGTCTATGCCTGGCCTGTGCAGAAATCAGCTGTGCCGATTGGGCTTCCCAAAACTCTGATGCCATTGGTGTTCATGGGCAGGCCCTACGGTGATGGGATCTCGTTCCCCCCTTCCATATCCGGTCCCCACCCCGAGGACTTGGCAATGTTGCCGCGGAGGCCAACCGATCGGAGCTCCCTTGTGATGGTGATAAAAGCCTCATAGGCCGCGTCCCGAGGGCCCACAATGGTGATGTCCTCGGCGTAGGCGACGATCGCCACCTCGGAGAGCAGCGTTGCCGTGCCTAGAAGTGTTGGTTGGATTGCCGTTGCGAAGAGGAGCGGACCTAGCGGATTACCCTGATAAAGTCCTCGGTTGCTCATGATCTGATCGACGCCAAGCTTGTGGTCCACCAGAAGTCAAGACAAGCCGTCATAAAGCGTGCGTACGAGGGGTAGGAGCGATAACATGCTCGATTGCGAGAGCACCTGGAAGAATGCCGGACGTTCGACACTGTTGAAGGCGTTCTCGATATCGAGCTGTAACGCTACTCGGGTCTCATCCTCCTTACGCAGTGATCGGACTGACTGAACGATGCACTCTGCACCGCCAGTGACTGCCACCCCAAACTGTACGGGGAGGGAGTACTCGCGAATGGTCTGTGCTAACTCCCTCAATGCCGCCTTTGCCACTATGCGAAGTACTGCTTCTCCTATCGCGATGGGCCTAACGCCTCCTCCCGGTTTTTCTAGAGCGATGAGTCTCGAGGGCAGAAGCAATTCGTGGACCGCCTGGGTCTGGAAGGTGCTAAGGAGGTAGCTGATAATTTGTGCGAGGAGTATGAGCACCTCCTCACTCGCGAGCGCAGGGTCTTTGAGGTGTTCGAAGCAGGTGCCTGATGGGCCTGCTCCCACTCCGTTCGGACATCGCTTGAGTATTTCGCGAAGGTCATCTGGTGTTACCCGCAGCTCCGAATGGGTGTAGCCGGAAACGAACATTGCCGGGGGCGATGCAGCATCGGGGTGTTTTGCCTGCAGTGCAGCGAGTGTCGGTGGTGTGGCCTCGACGAGTGGGGTTGCGCGTAACGCTGCAACTGCCTTCGAAATGTTACCCTTTTTCATCAGTCCTTCTGCCCTTGCGCAAAATCCAGCGTCATCGGCTTGGTGGCGTGACGGGTTCTCCGTATCGGGGATGACCTTAGCCTCCTCGAAGAGTTCCGCCCAGCTGCCTTGCTGGAACTGGTGCAGCCTCCCTTCAATTTCTGTCCACCGACTTCCCTCAACTGGTTCGGAAAGGGGCCGCAAGGTCAGCCTCAGGAGGAATTGTAGGATCGCCCATGCACCTGGGCAGTCGGGATATTTCTGCACGCGTAGGAGTGGTGCCAGCACGCAGAGGGTGTAGCTTTCCAAAATTTTGGGGGGCATCCTCTGAACCAAGAAAGGTTGGTCCCCCCGCTGAAGTGAGGCAACTTCCCACGTGGTTGTCTGCTGCCAGATGGCCTCTTTTGCCGCCAGCTCGGCCAACGACTGTACGTTGGGTTGCCCCGTTTCTCTCTGGCTCCCACTTGTCACTTCTCCGATCTCTCCCCTTTCGCGGGGGTTTCTCTCCTGGGGGTTTCTCTCCTCGGGGTTTCTCTCTTGGGGATTTCTCCCAATCTCCCTTCGTCCCCTCTCTCTTCCTGTCATGTCTCCCTCTGCCTCCAGCGAAATCTCCTTGGAGGTTTCGGGGGTCTCAGCTACATAATCCCCCCCGTCATCCTCATTCCCAGAGTCCCCCTCCTCCTGATTCGTCGGTGGTGCCTTCTGCTCCGGGCGGTCGTGGCATTCTCGCCATGTTCCTGATCTCATAAGCGCCTCCCTTCCGCCGACGATTGCGCCCCCGCCCCTTCTTCCACCTCTTGCCCCGCGTCCTCTGCCTCGGGCCCCACGAATTGGCGCTCCTTCCCCGGTCCGCCTCTCATTGTTCCGCCCCCCCGCCCGGCCTGTGGCGCTCTTCCCGCCGGGATCCACGGTGACTGTGTCTGTCTCGCCAGTCCCATCCTCAGACGGCCCCATGTAATTCCTTGTGCATGGGTGGAACTCCGTGTTTCCTGCTCTGTGCCTTGTGTAGTCGCTGCCTCCGGGGCGATGTGTCCTGCCACGTGCCTGACGTCAGCTTCCTTGTTGCTCCCCCCTCTTTCTGGTTCCACAGATGGAGGTTGACGCTCTTGCGATAGTGGAGACTGCTCTTGCACACTCCAGCCCTGAAGGGGACCCGGGGCGCCAGGTCCCAGCCCTGCTCCGGGCCGCCTCGGCGCTGGCTGGGCGCGGAACTTCCTCCCGCCCCTTCCGCAAGCGGCGCGCCCAGGGGCACCGGTCCCGTGACCCCGTCTTCCGCTCGCCGCCTGGTAGTACTTCTGCGTGTCTGCGCCCTCGGTGGCAGCAGATGTTCTGGCGCTCACGGCGGCCACCAATACCTCCCCCTCGACCGGGGCGTCGGCCAGGCTCCCAGCAGTCACCGCCGCAGCCAACACCGCCGCCATTACCGGCGCCGGTGACGCAGATAGCGCCACCGCCTCAGACGGTTCCTGATCCACCGCCTGACCCAGCTCCAGCGTCTGCTGTGTGCCACCTGTTGGTTGGCAGAGGGTGAAGTTGAGCCGCCGCCAAAAGCGGCGGCAGTTCCGCCAGCCCGCCCCAATGCCGTCACAGCCTCCGCTGGCGCCTCAGCGGCAGCAGCCACATCTTCCACAGCCTCAACCGGCGCAGTCGCCGCTGCGATGCTTCCACCTTCCACCGCAGCCGCCGCCGCCTCGCCCCTCGGCGTCTCCTGCACCTCAGCCCTCCTCATCGGCTGCTCCGTCACCGGCGCCGTTGGAATGGCCGCAGCTGTTTCTTGGCGGAAGGCGCATCCCAATCCCGTGGGAGGTGATGGGGTATCTGAGGGCGGAGGAGTCTCCAGATGTGCAGTCGCCCCCCCCATCAACTCCGCCATTGTCTCCTCCTCCACCTGTCGGTCCTGATCCCTCTCCCCCGCCGTCGCCGGAGGGGATTTCGCCGCCGAGCTCCCCGCCGTGGAGCAGGGCCTACCGCCTTGCTCAGCGCGTTGGGCACGTGGGGACATGCCTGACGTTGCTAGCAATGGTCCTCGACCAGCTGCACCTGTTCCAGCTGCGGCAGATACGTCCTGGGGAGGTGCCTCCGGTATTGTTGGCAACGGAGCAAGAGGAGGGTGTGGCAGCGGCGATGCAGATGCTGGAGATGCTGCCTTTGATTGGGCTGGTGCTGGACTCCCCTGGCGCCGCCTTGGGACCTGGTCGTGCTGCGCTGAGGCGGCTTGTTCTTGCCGCCCTGCAGGCCCCGTGGGACGTAGTACCAACTGCCGCATCCATGCTATGCTGGATGGACGGCCGGTTGAGTTGGATCCTGGCCGAGTAGCGGCCCTCTTCCCTATGCCCGCCTGCTTGGTTTCGGGCCTGGCCTTGGGCTTCCCCATGGCGGTATCTCCTTGCCTTGGGGTGTTGTTGTTGTTGTGTATTGTCACTGGTGCATGTTGTAGCCTTCCATGATAAAAGACTTGTCCCCCCTGATCCTTGTCCCCCCATATTTGGAGAGTAATCCTAACTCACCAGTGAATAATGAGCTCACTAGCCTAGATCCAGGGCCTTTATACTAAGGAAGCAGGCCTAGAAATGGCTAAGGACTAGATCCTAGAGAAGAGGGGCCTAGAAATGGCTAAGGACTGAGCTATGCCATCTCTCTCTCTCTCTCTCTCTCTCTCTCTCTCTCTCTCTCTCTCTCTCTCTCTCTCTCTAATAGTCCTTTTATTGATATAGCAGTCAAGTACAGGCAGGCAAGTTATAGTGGCCTAGGTAACAAGCATGCTGGTTGCAAACATCGCCGATCTACAACTCTACGAGGGGCTCAATCACTGCAAAGCAGTCCCCTAGATGCAACTCATCCCCAATTCCTCCCACCGGCGGGTTCTCAACCGCCGCCGCCTCCCCAAGCTTGAGCAGGAGGCCTACAGATTGGCCCCTTTGCAGGGCCACAGACCAGCGTTGCCTGAACTGGTGCAGGAACTTTGCAGCATAGAACAATTACAAGACGGCGGCCAAGTACAAGCATGCAGGTCATCGAGGCATGTATAGCTAACATGCAAGGCACAAGCACCACAAATCTACAAATCCACTAGGGGCTCAATGACTGCAAAGCAGTCCCCAAGGTGCAGCTCATCTCCAATCCCCCCCACAGGCGGGTTCTCTACCGCCGCAGCCTCCCCAAGTTTGATCAAAAGGCCCACAGATTGGGCCCTTTGGAGGGCCACTGACCAACGTTGCCTGAACTGGTGCAGGAACTTTGCAGCATAAAATGATTTGGAGTCGGCGTTGAAGTGGTGCCGAGCTGCAGTGTCCGCCATGAGCTTGAGGAAGACCGGCACCTCCGGGCAGGGGCAGCCGTAGGTGTCCACCGCAAGTCGGAAGAACTTCACCGTCTCCGGCAGGGTGGCGTAGTGCTGGATCTTCTTGTCCGCTTGCTCCCTTGCCGCCCAGCCCCTGCCTTTCAGCGCCTCTGGATCCCTAGTGCTAATGGGGTCACTAATGGTGACGTCGCATACATAGACCGCCCCACTGCTTCTGTCCGTCATCGTGAAGTCCGCCGTCTGTTCCTCAATGGGGCAGTGCGCCGCTGACTCGCTGTGGACTATGAACCCCGCGTCCTGGGCCATGCTAATGCAGGCATCGCGCAGCTCATTATGGGTGTTGATGCGATGCTTGCCTGTGCCGCAGCGGAGTAGGTGGTTAGGGAGGCGGGGGCCCGTGATGGCGGTGTGATCGGCGCAGTCACACTTCTTTGGTGTGGAGAAGGGGAGGGCCAGCCGGAATCGCACGGCATTAGAGAAGTGTGTGGGCCCTATCCTCCTGTTGGCTGCAATGGGGATAGCAGTCAGCCAATCCCCGGTCCCGTAGCCAGTCAGTGAGTACATCCGTTGCGTGTGTCCGCACAAAGGGTTCAGCGCCATCCGTCGAGTCTCCGTGACCTGGACGGCGTATCTGCTTCCATGTACCCTCAGTGCCAATGCGTGTTGGAGCCTAATGTCTGATTGCTCCAGCCGCTCCTTCTCTAGGATCTCCCGTGCGTCCTCCGGTAAAGCCGCTTCGCACTCTGATAGCCATGCGTGGAGAGGCATGGCAACGTCTGCAGGCAGCAGCATGTGGTCCCGAGCCTGCGTTAAGGCGCCATCCGGGGCGCTATCTAGTGATGCCAGGAAAAGCGCGGCTTGTGTGAAGCTCGCCGCGTACCCGTAAACTCCCTCAATTAGGGGGTCGGTAATGCCTATCCCTCCCAAGGATGGCGGCAGTGAGGCCTGCGCCCAGACACGTGCTTGTTCCATGCGGCAGGTGGGGACGCGGATGCTGCATGCTGTGAGTAGCGTTGCAAGCAAATCAGTGCCCCACCGACTCCAGGTGTCGTGAGATAGGAGGTGGAGCGGTGTCGTTCTGGTGAGGTATGCCACCCGCCTCGAGATACAGCGGGTGAGCAGTAGCGATGCTACCTGGGGGTCGGTTTTTTCAAGGAGTGGCAAAGGACTTGCCATTTCCCGTAACTGATTCGACAAGAACTGTGACGCCCCGCTGTCAGGGCCTACGAAGCTTTCCAGCAACCGCACGCCGTCCTGGGAAAATGGAACTCCATGCGGCAGCAGAGCCTTCACTGCTGCTTCTCTGCTCCAGGCTGCGCATTTCTGCGCGTTGTGTCTTAGCCCTAGGTGCGCCAACCTCTCGGTGAAGTGGTCGAATGCGGCTACAGTGTCCGCCGCCTCACCGAGGAATGTGACATCGTCGGCGTAAGCTAGACATAGCACTTGGGGATATGTCTCAGCAGTGTCGCGAAGTGCTGGGTGTATTCCTGCCGCGAAAAGTAATGGGCCGAGTGGGTCCCCTTGACGCACGCCCCGTTCGCTGGTCAGTGGGTCACATTCAAAATTCGCGTCGAGGTGCAGCTTGGACGGGTTACCATAGGTCAGTTTTACCAGCGGCACTAGTGGCGATAGCCCAGGTTCGTGTAACGCCGTCGCGATAGCTTGTCGGGATATGCTGTTGAATGCGTTCGAGATGTCGGTCTGCAAAACGAGGCTGTTGGGTAGCTTGTCCAGATACGCCCGCGCCACGTGGATGACAGCCTCGGCCCCACCTGGCACTGCCACTCCATACTGTAGAGGCAGGAAGTGGTCACGTGCAGCATCGCCCGTGGCTGCGAGGGCTGCCTTGGCTGTCAGCCGAGTGATGCATTCGCCAATCGCAATTGGTCGAGCTCCCCCACCAGGTTTGGCCAGTGCTATGAGTCGCGAGGCTGTAAGTAGGTCTGCCACCGGTGCTGGTAGGTTGCCCCCCAAAATGGTGTTTATCAATGCGTGCAGATGGGTGCTGACTCGCCCGTTCGTGATTGCCGCGTCGCGCATGTGCTCGAAAGTTGATCCCGAAGGGCCGGCTCCGACCCCATTCTCGCACCTTCCCAGTAGTTTGGCGAAGTCAGCGTGCGAGATGGATAATTTTGACTCGGATGTGGGTGGCCACGTCGTTTGTCCTGATTCGGCTGGCGGATGTTTCCGTCGGAGCTCCTCCAGAATTTCTGGGGTTGGTTTGCAGACTGGCGTTGACTCTAATGCCAACACTGCTCGGCGCAGGCTACCGCGTTTCGCTAGGCCCTCGGCTCTGCTGATGACCTCGGTTGTGTCGGGCTGATGACGTGGTGGGGCGGGTGAGTTGACTGCGTCAATCGCGTCCTTGTACAGTTGGTCCCACTCGCCACGCTGGAAGGCTCGGAGCCGGGCCTTGATCTGGGGCCAGTTCGGTTTCCGTGGCGAGTTTTGGCGAAGCGTCAGGCGTGGCAGGAAGAGGAGGAGGCGCCAACCTGCCTCTGATTCCGGGTTTCGTGACAGGTGGAGTAGCGGGGTCAGTAGCGTAAGCGAAAACAACTGGCACAGGTTTGGCGGTAACCGCTGTGCGAGAGGTGGTTGCCGACTGTCGCAGAGGGCAGGGATATCCCAGTTCGCGATGTCCGCGAACCAGTCCGTCCGCATCGCCAGCTCCTCTGGCGTGAAATAGCGAGGGGGATGTGGATTTTCCCGCACCGCCATTCTGTCTGCCGCGGCCCGATGTCGCCTGGTGCGGTCCGTCCTCGCTCGTGATGGTGTGGGTGGAATGTCGCCCGTACGATCTGCATCAGACCGTCCACCAGCGGTGTCCAATTGCTCGCCAAGGGACTGCCGCAGTCTTGCTCCCGTTCTCCTCCCGTTCTCCCTTACTCCTTCTTCTCCTTCCGTCCCCTCATCCTCGCTCGAGGGCATGGGCTCCTCTCTATAAGAGGGGTCCGTTCTCTCTTCGTCATTATCGAGCCTGTTTAAAGCCCTTCTTGCCTCTGACTGATAGCCGTTCTCCGGCCCTCCTCCCCGTCCGCTAGCAGCTTCTCGCCCTCCGCCTCGCGCTCCTCGGTCTCGCGATGGTGATTGCTGGTGTGACCGATTACTCGCCAATGCGCGCTGGCGCTGCGTCGGTTGTGTTCGAAAAGCCGTCGGCTGCCTCCGGAGCGGGGACCACGGCGACGGGTTCCTTGCCGCCGTTTGCTCCGGAGCCCTCGACAGCAGGCGCTGAAAAGACTCCTCCCCTCGTATCCGCGGGTTCTCACGTTGTAAACGAGGCGGCGCCGTCTGCGTCGGCTGGTGCTCCTCCCGCTCCGACTGTCGCTCCTGCTCCTCCTGCTCCCGTTGTGGCGCCGGCGACGGCTGTTGTTCCCCCTGTCCCTGTCCCTGGCGCTCTTGGTGCACCTGTCGTTTCTGTCCCCGACGAGCTTGCGCCGGCGTCTGCTTTTTCCCCGAAGGTGGCGTCCGCCACCACTGTCGGCCCGGCCCCGATGGTTGCGCCTCCCGGCTCGGATTTGGTGGCTCCCACTCTGTCGCCAACAGTCCCAGTTGGTGGGCCGTCGCGTCCCCTGTCGTCTGACCGCCGTCTCTCACGGCCTCATTCTCCAACGCCGCAACAGGGGCGCGAGACGTCGCGGCGCCGGCGCAACTCCCCCCGGCGCTATCAGCAACAGGCCCAGTGGCCTGCTCATACTGGCGGCAATGGTGACTGGAGGGGTTTCCCCGGGCGTGGTGGTCGCGGGAGGTATCGTCCGCCTGTGACAATGGCGGATCTACAGCGGGAGGTGTCTCGGGCCGTTCGCAAGGAGAGGGCGGCGCAGAGCCAGAGCAGTTCGCCGCGAGCAACGTCGGCGCCCGTGGCTCCTCGCCCACCTGTGCCTCCTGTGGTGCCTCCGCCGGCTGCTCCGCTTCCCTCCCCTGTCCTCGTCCCGTCGGCTCCCTATCCTTCCGTGGCGGCGCCATCCCCGAGCTCTCGTCTGCATCTGCCGACGGTTCCGCCTGTTGCGGGGGTGGAGTTTGTGGCCGCGAATGGTGGCGCGGCAGCGGCTCATTGTGCAGCTGATGAGCCGCTCCAGTTCCTGGCGGAGGCGCTTCAGCCTCCGCAAACGCGTGTTTCAGAGTCGACTCTCGGTCAGCTCCACCGCCTCGCAGAGAGTCTCCACGCGTTGCTGCTGATACAAGTCCTTGCTCACTCCTCGCTCCCTGGAGTCCCTCCTGAGACGTTTCGCGACCGTCCGCGCAAGACTTGCTTGGATGCGGCAGACCAGCTCGCCGTGCTGCTGGCGCCCGTGCTGGCTGCGCCCGCGGAGGGTGGCGCTGCTGCTGCGGGACAGCTGGACGAGGCTGTCCGGAGCTTGAAGCGGCACTTGCGCGCTGGATCTGGAGCCGCGGCGATCGGCGCAAGTACGCTGGTGGTCCGGGAGCTGTGGCGGACATTGACTGGTATTCTCCATGCCCTTGGAGCTCACCGGATGTAGATCCGGGCTCCGCTTGCCCCTGCGTGGCCATTTGTGCTTAGGATTGTGTTGATGCCGCCATGTATGCCGTTGCTTGTAGTCAATCGTGTGTGTGTTTCCCTGCCATCCCTCACGCGCGGCCGAAGGCCGCGCTGTCGAGCGTCGGCCGCCGAAGGCGGCCGGCGCGAGCCGCTCGGTTAGGAGAGCAATGAAAAGAGAACCGAACAATGAAGAGAGCTAGCTGCAGAGGAGCACTTTATACTATGCTGGAGAGTGCTGGAGAGGCTAAGGACTAGCTCCTAGGGCCTCTCTCTCTCAAGCGGTCCGTGTATTAGATCCGAGCACGGTACAGACATGCACAAGGTTATAAGGAGCAATGCACCTCAGCCTCTATAACCCCCATATCCTACCTACTCTCATTCACCCTCTAAGGCAGCTCCAGTGCAGGCTCCAGGATGGCAAGGCAGTCCCCGAGGGACATGCCTTCGCCCGGCAGCGCCACAGGTGGGTTCTCTACCTGAGCCGCATAGTTGCACTTCGTCATGAAGCTCACCGACTGCGCCCGCTGCAGCGCCACGGACCACCGCTGGCGGAACTGATGCAGCAGCTTTGTTGCTTGGTAAGATGAGGGGGCCGCGTTGAAGAGCCTGCGCGCGCCGGTGTCGGCCAGAAGTTTGAGGAATTGAGGGACCTCCACGCAGGGGCAGCCGTAGGTATCAACGGTGAGAGGGAAGAATCCGACCCACGAGGCCGTTGAGCCCTCGTAGTCGGAGATCTTTTTCTCTGCCGCCTCTCTGGCCGCCCACCCCCTGCCCTTAACCGCGTTGGGATCCCGTGTGCTAATGGGGTCCGTGATGGTCACGTCCCCTATCCACACCGCCCCTGAGGACTTGTCCCGGATCGCTAAGTCTGCTTTCTTAAGGGTGACGGGGCAGAACGTGGTCGTCTCACTGTGAGTCATGAAATCACCGTCGGCGGCCATGTGCAGACACGCATCGCGCAGTTCATTGTGCGTGTTGGTCCGCCCCTTCCCTGTGTCACAGCGCAGCAGGTGGTTGGGCAGCCGCCTGTCTGGGATCGCTGTCTCCTTGCGGCAGTCACACGCGCCTGGAGCTGAGGAGGGTAGCCCCATCCGGAATTGCAGCGCATGCGCAAAGTGAGCAGGGGCAAGCCGTAGTGTCGAGTTGAAGGGGACTGCATTGAGCCAGTCTCCTGCCCCATACCCTGAGAGTGAGAGCATGCGCTGAGTGTGCCCGCTCATTGGGTTGAGAGGCATGATGCGTGTGGCCTGCACCTGCTCCGCGTAGCGCAGTCCGTGGACCGCGATTGCCAGCCCGTGCTGCAGCTTGACGCCCTTGGGATCAACTCGGTCGCTCTGCAGCAGCTCCTTCCCATCATCCGGCAGTGACTCCTCACACCTCTCCAGCCAGTCAAAGAGCGGGGACGTGTTGATGAAGGGCCCCACCATCTGGATCCGCGTTTCCGCCAGGGCGCCGACCGCCGACTCATCAATGGAGGTGAGCAGGTGCTGCGCTTGCGTGTAGCTTGCGAGAAACCCAACACGTCCCTCCACCGAGGGGTCTGTGAGACCTAAACCGCCGAGCGAGATGGGGAGTGACGCTTGCGCCCAGGTACGTGAAATCTCGGCCTCCCCCCGTGGGTGGCGAATGCCGCAAGCATCGAGCAGTGTCTCAAACAGCCTTTTACCCCAGTCTGACCACTCCTCGACTGGCAGGGCTGAAAGCGGCGTGGTGCGGGCGACGTAAGCGATCCTTCGTGAGATGCACCGAGAGAGCAGAAGGGAAGCCAGCTGTGGCTCCATCCGCACTATTAAGGGCAACGGCCCGCCCATGGTGTCGAGGCTGGCACGTAGGAACGCGGCAGTTGCGTCACTGCCACCGATGAAACTGCCAAGCACCTTCACCCCATCTTCAGTGAAAGGTACGCCCACTGGTAGCGCAGCTCCCTGTCGGCCTGCCTGGGACCAGGCTGCGCATTTGGCGGGGTTGTGGCGCAGCCCAATCTCCCCAAGGTTTCCTGTGAAGTCCTCAAACGCTGCTGCACACGTGGCTGCATCTCCAAGGAAAGTTACGTCGTCCGCATAGGCAAGACAAACGACAGAGGGGAAGGTGAGCGCTGTTTTCGTCAGTGCAGGGTGTATGGCGGCAGCGAACAACAACGGGCCGAGGGGATCTCCCTGTCGCACCCCGGTCTCGCTCAGCAGAGGTGGGTGTGCGAAGCCAGCATCCAGACATAGAGCCGAGGGAAGGCCGTACAGCAGTTTAACTAACGGTAAGAGCGAGGCGAGGGTGGAGTCCCGAAGAGATTTGATGATGGCGTCGCGGTTGACGCTGTTAAATGCGTTCGCCAGATCAGCTTGCAGGACCAAAGCTCCTGTGTTCACCGTGAGGTAAGTGCGTGTGATGTGGATAATCGCTTCCGCCCCACCAGGGACAGCCACGCCGAACTGGTGCGGTAGGAAGAACTCACGGGCGGCCCCTGCGGTCAAGGTAAGCGCCGTCTTGGCCGCGAGGCGCGTTATGCTTTCGCCGATGGCGATCGGCCGCGTCCCCCCATCGGGCTTGCTCAGGGCAATTAATCTGGAGGCGGTGAGGAGCTCGGCCACTGCAGGAGGTAGGTTTCCCGTGAGAATCGTGTTGACTAGTGCGTGAAGGTGCTTCCCAACGGAGTGGTTGATCAGCGCTGCATCGCGTAAGTGTTCAAACGTGGTTCCAGAGGGGCCCGCTCCTACCCCCATCTCGCAGCTTCCCAGCACCTTGGAGAAGACTGCAAATGGTGCTGATTGGTGGGGGTCAGGTGCTGGAAAAGTCCAGTCAGGTGGGGAGGCGGGCGCTGGTGGGTGTTTGGCGCGCAGGGCCTCCAGCACAGTTGGGGAGGGAATGCTGACTGGCGTGGCTTCCAGTGCCATCACGGCTCGTCGTAGGCTGCCACGTCGTGCCAACCCCTCTGCCCTAGCGATGACACCAATGTCATCGGGCTGGTGTCTAGGTGGTTGGGGCCACGTCAGTGAGCCCACTGTCTCATTGTATAGCTTATCCCACTCCCCGGACAGAAACTGATGAAGGCGGGCACTGACAGCCTTCCAATCTGGACGTCGTGGGGACGGCTGGCGAAGTGTTAAGCGCGCCAGGAATAGAACGACCGTCCAAGCAGAGGTAGAGTCTGGATATTTCGCCAAGCGCAGCAGCGGCGCCAACAAAGCTGTGGCGAAAAGCTTGCGTGGGTCTGGAGGGAGGTGGCGGGAAAGGGGTGCGTGGCGAGAGTCGCGTAGTTTCGTGAGATCCCAGGCTACAACGCTGGCGAATAGCGTGTCGTCCTTGGCGAGAGTTTCTGGGGATTTTTCCTCTAAGGGTTGGGTTGGGACGTGGTTACCGCCAGGTGCAGGTTGGGGGGCGGTGTGGGTAGGGGTCTGAATGTTGGAAATCGGGGTTGGGATTGGTGGAGTGGCGAAATTTCCCGATGCGGCACGGGTTGGTGTTGGGGGACCCCTCCTGTTGGATCTCACTGCTGAGTTTCCCCCCGGCAGGTGAGTTGCGGCTGGCCTGCTCGCTCGAGCAGGGGTCTGTTGCTGCTCGTCTTCCAGTGACTCAGAGCTAGAGGTCGAGTCCGTAGATTCTGCAGCTACAAAGCTGCCGTCTGAAGTGGTTGAATTATTATCGTTGCTCATCTCAGTTAAAGCCCTCCGTCCCGCCTGCTGGTACACGTTCTCCGGACCGCCTCCTCGAGCCCTCCCGCCACGCCCAGCTGCTCGCCCTCCCCGGCCTGCAGCTCTACCTCCGCCGCGTCGGCCGCCCGTTGGGCGAGCGCTATCATCCCTCTGCTCCGATGGATCTCCTGGCTGCTCCTGAGCGCGGGTGTTCCGCGGTGAGCGATCTCGCTCCCCGTCCGCTTCCTCCTGCACGTCCTGCCGCGAGCGTCCCTGTCGCTCCGATGGCTGCCGCCGATCAGATTCGTCGCCGTTTCGAAGATCAGCGGCCCGCGCCGGCGCCTGCGCGTGCGGAGTCCGTCGTGCGCTCCGACGCAGAGGCTGCGGCGCGCCGGGAACGTTCGCCTCGTCGCCGATCGACAGTGGCGCGCGGTGACGGGCAGGAGAGCCACCGTGCGGAGCGTCACGCCGAGCCTCGGTCGCCTCGGAAGCCGCGATCACCGCACTCACCACGTTCACCGCGCCGCGCGGCATCGAGGAGCCGATCTCCGGACCGCCGGTCGCGTCGTCACCGTTCGCCCGGTCGCCAAGCCACACACTATCGATCGCCTGCTCCGCACGTGTCTCGCCCGCGGTCCCCATCTGCGCGTTCGCCGCGGACGTCAAAGCGCCAGCGGCTCTACTCTCCTCGTCACGGGGGCCGATCCCCTGTTCGCCACCGCCAACGCGTCCCATCTCGCCAGCAGTCGCCCGCTCACTCGAATGCAAGTGGACGTGGGCGTCGTGGGCAGCGGGGAGGGTATGGACGCGGCGGAACTGCGCGTCAAGCGCCGTCCGAGCTTGAGCGCGTTCTCCGAAGGTTGGACGGCGTGGAGAAAGCGCTCCACCGCTCGAACGCGGAGGCGTCATCCCATTCCGTGCTGCCGGCTGGCCCCGTCGTTCCTCTTGCTGCCCTCCTGCCGCACAACCCTGAGGGCTCCCTTGCGCGTCCTGGTCGTCCGCTGCCAGCAGGGGCTGGCTTCGTGGGCGCAGGTGGTGGGGATCCCTGGGCCGCGTATGCACCCCTGCGTCCTCGCTCCCCTCCACGTGATCTCGCTGTGTCGTCCCGCCGAACGCGCGCCGCTGCTGTCCTTCCGCGGTTGAAGGAAGTGCCCACGGTGACCCTGGCGCGCTTGTGGTCGCTGGCGGAGAGCCTGCAGAGCCTTGAGCTGATACTCCTGGAGTCCCATGGCTCCATGGCGGTGACCCCACCGAGCACATTCTCTCAGATGCCACGAGCACGGTGTCATGCGGCGGCGTCAGCGCTATTCTCGTACGTATCGCCACTGCAAGTTGCGCCCTCGCCGGGAGTAGTCTCGGCCACCCAGCTGGCCGAGAAGGCCCTGGATCTGAAGACGCTTGTTGGATCTCGCGGAACTCCTGTTGACGTTGTCGGCGCCACCGCGTCAGTGGTCCGCCTGATGTGGTTGACCAAGCGCGAAACGCTTGGTGAGCTTGAGGCCGACCGCATGTAGGCGCCCCTCTCGCGCGTGAGTAGACCCGCTCCATGTTTGCTCTCCTAGTTGTCGTTGCCTGTCATGTTCGTCGGTGTTGTCATCTTGCTATATGTCATCCTTGTTGATCTTGTCGTCCCGAACGCGCGGCCGCAGGCCGCGCCCGCGAGCGCCGGCGCGAAGCGCGGGAAAAATTGGAACACCGAATGAAGAATGAGCTAAACCAGAGGCCAGGAGGCCATTATATAGCTGGAGAAGAGAGGGGAAGAGGCTAGGAGGGAAGAGGCTAAGTCCTTGCTTCTCTCTCTCTCGCTCTCTCGAACGAGCGCTGGAAAAACTGGAACACCGAATGAAGAATGAGCTAAACCAGAGGCCAGGAGGCCATTATATAGCTGGGGAAGAGAGGGGAAGAGGCTAGGAGGGAAGAGGCTAAGTCCTTGCTTCTCTCTCTCTCTCTCTCTCTCTCTCTCTCTCTCTCTCTCTCTCTCTCTCTCTCTCTCTCTCTCTCTCCTCTCTCCTCCGCTCGGTTAGGAGCGCAATGAAAAGAGAACCGAACAATGAAGAGAGCTAGCTGCAGAGGAGCACTTTATACTATGCTGGAGAGTGCTGGAGAGGCTAAGGACTAGCTCCTAGGGCCTCTCTCTCTCTCTCTCTCTCTCTCTCTCTCTCTCTCTCTCTCTCTCTCTCTCTCTCTCTCTCTAATGGTCCGTATATTGATAAGCCAGAAGGGTACACACATGCAATGAGAGACAGCAGGGTGCTAATATGCAGGGTAGCCTAGACTATCCCACCCTTCTGTGCCACCTAGAGCTCAAGAAGAGGCTCCATGACAGTAAAACAGTCCCCAAGGTATAATTCCTGCCCTATCCCTCGTACAGGCGGGTTCTCTGCAACAGCCGCCTCCCCTAACATGATCATGAGACCCACAGATTGGGCCCTCTGCAGTGCAACCGACCACCTCTGCCTGAACTGGTGCAGGAACTTCGCGGCATGATAGGATTTGGAGTCGGCGTTGAAGTATCGCCGAGCCGCCGTGTCTGCAAGGAGTTTCAGGAACACAGGGACCTCAGCACAAGGGCAGCCGTAGGTCTCCACTGCGAGGGGAAAGAATGGTCCTTGTATTCCTGCCTCTCGAGGGGAAAGAATGGTCCTTGTATTCCTACCGGGTTGCTCGGCGGCGGCCTACCTCTCTCTCTCTCTCTCTCTCTCTCTCTCTCTCTCTCTCTCTCTCTCTCTCTCTCTCTCTCTCTCTCTCTCTCTCGGTTGCAGTTCTTGTCCTGTTATGACATCGAGTCCGTCACGGTCACGTCGCACATCCAAACCTCACTGGTCAGTGGATGACGGATGGTGACATCCGCCTTTAGGTTTTCAACCAGTGAGTAGACATACGTCTCCTTGTGGACCGTAAATCCTGCCTCAGCCCCAATGTTTACTATCTCATCCCGCAGAGCGTGATGGGTTGCGGTCCCCCCTTTCCCCTTCTCGCAGCGCATGAGGTGGTTGGGGAGGCAGTCGTCGGGGAAGGTGGTGCGGTAGCGGCAGTCACAGCGTCTAGGCACTGGGAGGGGGAGGCCTAGGCGGAAGGCAGCTGCAGTTGAGAGCTGGGAAGGGCCCATCCGGAGCGAGGGGATGAGCGGGATCGCCAGCAGCCAATCCCCCGCTCCTGGGCCTAGCACCGACTGCATCCATCGCGCGTGGCCAGAAAGGGGGTTGGGGCGCATCCGCCTTGCCTCGTGCATGACACTCAAGAAGCGGCGGGAGTGAACCGCCAGCGCTAGGCTCTGCTGCAGCTTCAGACCCTTGGGGTCTGCCTTCCCGGCCTGGAGCACCTCGAGAGCCTCAGGTGGGAGAGCTGCCTCAGCCGCGGCGAGGCGTGCAGGTAGCGCGTGCGGGGAGCCGTGGGTAGGGTCCAGTAGGGGGAGGAGCGCGGCGACAGCAGGGTGCAACGAGTCCTCCATAGAGTATAGTAGGTGGGCGGCGCTGATCACTGAAGTGAGGTAAGCGTAGCTGCCTTCAACGGCGGAGTCAGTGATGCCCAGACCTCCCAGAGTCACAGGCAGGGCCGCCTGCCGCCAAAACCTCCACCTCTCCCGGGCACTCCTCGGCCTCATGATATGGGCCGAGTCCAGGAAGGTATGTAAAAGCTGCTCCCCCCAAGCAGACCATTCCGCTTTAGGGAGAGCTTCCAGGGGGGTGGTTCTGGCCAGAAAGGAAGCTCGGCGGCTGATACAGCGGGTGAGGAGGAGGAGGCTAAGCTGGGGGTCCATCTGGGCCAGCAGGGGGAGTGGGGATGCTGCTGCTGCCAGTCTCTCTCTCACAGCGCCCGCGCAGCCCCGGGGTGTGCCAACCGGGCTGTCGAGAATCTGCAGGCCCTCATCAGAGATAGTATTTCCCGGGGGCACTGCAGAGGAGTTAATTGGTGCGGCGGACCACGCCGCGCATTTGGCCGGGTTGTGTACCAGGCCGAGGGCGGCAAGTGCGGATGTGAGGTGGTCGAAAGCTGCTGTGCAGGCCGAGGCGTCGCCGAGCAGCGTGATGTCATCGGCGTACGCCAGCAAGACCACCTGAGGGTGTGCCGCCGCCGTGTCAACGAGGCACGGGTGGATGCTTGCCGCGAACAGGAGGGGGCCGAGCGGGTCCCCTTGGCGAACTCCCCTGGCGCTCTGCAGCGGGGCTGCGCCGAAGTCGTGGTCGAGGTAGAGCGAGGAGGGAGCCCCGTAGGATAGGCGGACGAGGGGGATCAGCTCCTTCAGCGCCTCGTTTCTCAGTCCCTCGAACACCGCTCTCCTTTCGACCGTGTTGAAAGCGTTCACGAGGTCGATCTGCAAGGCCACTGCAGCAGGGTGCACTTCCAGGTACGTGCAAGCGGTGTGGATAGCCGCTTCGATCCCCCCTGCTACTGCTACTCCGAATTGAAGGGGAGCAAAGTGAGTACGGGCGGCCGGCGCGGTCAGGAAGAGGGCGGCCTTTGCTATAATCCGGAGGAGACACTCCCCCACCGCTATTGGCCGCGTCCCTCCTTGGGGTTTCGTAAAGGCTAGCAGGCGGGAGGCCGTGAGTATATCCCCCGCGACTGTTGGGAGTTTTCCTGCTAGAGCTGTGTTGGAGAGGGCGAGGAGGTGGGTGAGTACTTCAGCATTTCCTAGGGCTGCGTCGCGGATATGCTCGAAAGTGGTTCCTGAGGGGCCGGCCCCGACTCTGTTGGGGAGCTTGGCGAGGAGGCGCCTGAAGTCGCGGGCTTCGATAGTGGGTGGGTCTTCAGCCGTGGCGGTGTGGAGCCAGTCTGGGAGTAGCTGGCTGGCAGGTGGATGTCTCGTCGCAAGGGCTTCCAACACTTCAGTTGAGGCAAGTGACACAGGGGTGGCCTGGAGCGATTGAAGTGATTTTGACAGGTTACCCCGTTTTGCCAGTCCTTCCGCCCGTGCCAGTATTCCAGTTGTGTCGGGTGAGTGGCGAGGCTGCAGAGGCAGGGAAATCGCCTGAACAGCTTCTTCATATAGGTCCGCCCAGAGCCCTTGGCGAAATCGCAGGAGCCGATTCATCATCGCGCTCCAGTCAGGTTTACGGGCCGACGAGGTGCGGAGGAGTATGCGTGGGAGAAAGGTCAGTAATTTCCATCCTGGCGGAGACTCGGGATTGGCCGCCAGGTGGAGTAACGGTGTCAACATGCAGATCGCAAAGGAGTCGCGAAGATCTTTGGGGGGGTGGCGAGCGAGAGGAGGTTGGCGACTGTCACGTAGCGGGTCAAGGTCCCATACTACAGCCTGAGCGAATAGCTCAGAGTTTTTCGCCAGGTCGTCAGGTTTGAGCATCGGGGGGGTTGGACTCGGGGCTGCAGAATTTTCATTGGCTATTGCAGAGTCAATTCTTTCTTCTTTCGCGGCTCGATTTCCCCTCCTTGCTTGAATTCCCCCCACGGTTCGATTCCAACCTGAGGTTCGGTTTGCAGATTCGCCTCTGGCCTGCCGGTTTGGGATCTCCGCTTCCCGCAGCAGCTCCAACTCTTCCTCGTCCTCCTCGGCCTCTGCTTCTAACATCCCCTCTCTTTCAGGGTTAAAAGCAGGGTCACCCTCGTCACTTTCCTCATTCTCCACTTCCTCCTCTGCCTCCTCGCTAAGCGGTTCCTCGCGACCCTCCGTGTTGTTTCGCATCAGCCTTTCCACATTTCTCGTGTAGCCGCTTGCACCAGAGCGGTGCCTGTTCGAACCCCGTGTTCCACCACCTCTTCGTCCTCTCTCGTTACCTCGTCGTCCGCGGCGGCTGCCGCGTCCTACGCGGATTCCCCGCGGTGCTCTTCCAACAGCAGCTCCCTCGCGCCCTGTATGCGGCGCCGCGGCCGTCTCGTTTTCGCTTCGTCGGCGCGCTGGCGTCGGCTGCGGTACGATCGGGGGTGGTGGACCCATCCGCGAGACGGGATCCGGAGCTGGAGGTTTCCGCGAAGAGCGCGCTGCCGCAGCCTGTGCCTGCCGAGCCTCGTCCACGTCTCCTTGCGCACCCCTCCGCAAGCGAGCCCGTTCACCGCTTCGAGCGGGTGCAAACACTTCCCCATCGGCCAGCCGTGCGCCCCACCTTGCCGGAGTATTTGTGGGCGCCTGCTCGTGTTGCGTCGAACCGCCCGGACGGTCAGCCGCGGCATGAGCGCGGGTGCTCGCCTCCGCGTCAGCCTCCTCGGCCGCCCTCTCCTCGCCGCCCTTCTCCTGAGCATCGCGAGCACTATCAGCGCGGGGAGGGGGGTCCGCGTTCCCCTGGACGTCCTCGCTCTCCTCGCCGCCCATCCCCTCGTGGTCAAGCGGGCCAGCGCTCACCACGAGCGCGATCCCCCGCGCAACGCTCTCCGCGGCGATCTCCGGCGACGCGGGGGAGGGGGTCGCCTGGGCGTCGCTGGGATTCGGGTCGCCGCGAGCAGTCCCCCCCGCGTCCACATTCGGCTGGTTCCGGGGGACGGCGGGGCTGGCGGAAAGGCGGAGGGCGAGGCGGAAATGGCAACCAGCCTGATCCAGCCCTCGATCACGCTGCGGACACGTTCGTGGAGGTGGTGAGGCAGGCCCGGGCGAGAGGGGCGCCGACTCACGTCCACCTTGAGGTGACCAATGGTCCCCCCTTCGCCGCGGACCCCGGCCAGGTTGCTCCTCTGCGTGCGCCGACGCTGCGCGAATATCAGCCCGCGCGTAAGGGAAGGGCTCAATTCCGCACCCCCCGTCAGGTTCCCGGCTTCTCTGCGCCGCGCTTATCTGTTGGCCGGACTCTTGGCTGGCCGGCGGTGTTTCCACGCGAAGCGCTGACTGCACCTCCCCCCACTCGCGCGGGGAGAGACCCCATGCTGACCATGTGCCGGGTTTTGGATCTGGCGGAGGCGTGCGAGGTGGTGGCGAACTTGCAGCTGGCGGTGTGTGGGGCCACGAGGAGCTTTCGGAGCAGTTTTGGTCAAGGGTGCCGAGGATCCTGCGTGACTTTGGCAGAATCACTCGAGTCGCCATTGGCACCTGTGTCGGATGCGCCCGCCGGGGTAGCTCCCTTAGCCCGTACTTTCCCCCGCCACGTGGGGGATCTTGTAGGGGCTGCTCAAGCCAGGACCCCCTTGGACACGCTCCAGTCGTCGGCGCATCTCCTTCTTGCAGTGTCGGCGTGCATGCGCTCGATGCTTGAGGTGAAGGGGGCGGAGCCGTACACGATGTAGGCCTCCGCCGCGTGTAGAATTGCATGCCACGCCTCTTGCTCTTGCCCAGCTCCTTGCCTTTGTGTGTGTGTGTGCCCTTTATAAGCCGAGCCTCCGTTTTGTGTCTTGCCACCAGGAACGCGCGGCCGAAGGCCGCCGGCGCGAGCCGCCGAAAACGGAACACCCACGAAATAATGAGGTTGGGAAGGCACAGAGGGCCCCTTAAATAGGCTCAGAGGGAGGGGGCAGAGGGAAGAGGGAGAGGGTTGGTTGCTAAAGCCTTCTCTCTCTCGCTCTCTCTCCACCGAAAATGGAACACCCACGAAATAATGAGGTTGGGAAGGCACAGAGGGCCCCTTAAATAGGCTCAGAGGGAGGGGGCAGAGGGAAGAGGGAGAGGGCTGGATGCTAAAGCCTTCTCTCTCTCGCTCTCTCTCCGCCGAAAATGGAACACCCACGAAATAATGAGGCTGGGAAGGCACAGAGGGCCCCTTAAATAGGCTAAGAGGGAGGGGGCAGAGGGAAGAGGGAGAGGGCTGGATGCTAAAGCCTTCTCTCTCTCTCTCTCTCTCTCTCTCTCTCTCTCTCTCTCTCTCTCTCCCTCTCTCTCTCTCTCTCTCTCTCTCTCTCTCTCGAACGAGCCACCGGATTTGGAGAGTTATCCTAATTCACCAGTGAATAATGAGCTCACTAGCCTAGATCCAGGGCCTTTATACTAAGGAAACAGGCCTAGAAATGGCTAAGGACTAGATCCTAGAGAAGAGAGGCCTAGAAATGGCTAAGGACTGAGCTATGCCATCTCTCTCTCTCTCTCTCTCTCTCTCTCTCTCTCTCTCTCTCTCTCTCTCTCTCTCTCTCTCTCTCTCTCTCAAACGGTCCTTTGTATTGATTCAGCAGGGGTACAAAACATGCAGTGCTATCCATGATAACCTCCTTCCCTTAAGCCCCTTAACTCACCCCTCTCCCCCCCCCCCCCCCCCCCCTCCCCTTGAGTGACCCTCTAGCCCTCCAGCGTGTGGAGGATGTCCCCCAGGTGCAGCGGCCAGGGGTCCGCTGCCATCTGGGGGTGCGCTGCCTCGATCCCAGCCCTGGCCTTGGTATGCAGGGCATTCGCCTGGGAGCGCTGGAGGGCCACTGACCAGCGTTGGCTGAAGTGGCAGGCCATTTTCTTGGCCGATTTGGCCAAGGGGTTGGCCCTGAACCTGTTCCTAGCCGCTGCTGTGGCCAGCAGCTTACGGAACGCTGTCGTGGGTGGCGCGTTTGCCCCGTATGTCTGGACGGCCAGGGCGTAGAACACCACGTGTTCGGTGTGCCTGTAGTAGTCCCTCTCCTTCCGCCTCTGTGCCTCCCTTGCAGCCCAGCCTGGGGGTTTGTGGGCTGTCGGGTCTCGAATCTGCAACACAGGGACAGTGATAGTAGTGTCTGTGATCCAAGTCTCTCCACTGTCCGGGTCGCGTACAATCACGTCGGCCTTCTTCGGGTCATCCGGCGGTGAGTACAACGCATTCTCCAGGTATACCACCAGCTCTACCTCCCTTGCCATTTTAGCCACAGCGAATGCCAGCTGGTTGTGTGTGCGCATCCTGCAGCGGAGTAGGTGGTTGGGTAGGCTGCAGTCGGCTACAAGTTCTCCACACTCACACACGGTAGGTACATTTTGGCGGATACCCATGCAGAAGGCCAGGGCTGTTCGGAATTGCCCTGGTGAAAAGCAGAGGTTTGGTGTCAGGGGTAGGGCTTGCAGCCATGCCCCCGCTCCCTCGCCTCTCGGGCTAACGAGGCGGAGCGTGTGGCCCATCTCGGGGGCTGACCTGATTGTGCGTGATTCCTCTGTTAGGGCGTCGGCCTTTGCCGCGTGCACATCCTGGGAGAGGGCGCGCTGCAGATGGTCTTGGGACGGGGTTTGCTGCTCCTCCCATAGGTTTTGTAGCGCCAGTGGTGGCAGTCGCCCCTCCATGTCCTAGATGGTCACGGTGTGCGCTGCAGACGGCTGCAAGGCGTTGCTGTTTGCCCCTAGTGGCGCGGTTGCTGGTAGGTCCAGGGAGCGGAGCAAGCGTAGAGCCTCTGTTGTAGATGCCAGGTAGGCCGGTGCTGCTTCAGTTGTGGGGTCCGTAAGGCCCAGTCCGCCTAAAACTACTGGAAGAGTTGCGTGTCCGAGAAGGAAGTTGAACTCGACTTCTCGACGGGGCAGTTGAATGCTGGCGGCGGTCAAGGCGGAGTTCAACAGTTCGGAGCACCATGCATGCCATTCCAAGAGAGGTAAGACGTCTGCTGGGGTGGTGCGCAGCAGGTAGCCGATCCTGCGGCTGATGCAACGAGACAATAGCAAGAGGGTGTGTTGAGGGTGGATGGCCGCCAGAGAGCCCAAGGGTGCCGCCGCATCTGTCAGGGTGCTGCGGACAAAGTCAGAGCAGAAGCTCTGCGATCCCACAGGGCTTCCCAACACCCGAACCCCATCGTAGGTGATGGGAAGACCCTCGGGAAGCGCGTCACCACCAAGCGGTGTGGAGGACCATGCCGACGACTTCCTAAAGTTGCAGGTGAGGCCATCCTGTGCTAGTAGCTGCGTCAGCACTTCCAGCGCGCCAAGCGTCGCCGTCGCCGGTCCTATCATGGTGATATCGTCTGCGTAAGCTAGGACCGTGACTTCCGGGTGTTCAACTGCTACCCGCCTGCTGGATTGACGCCGCGAATAGAAGGGGTCCGAGGAGATCCCCCTGCCTCACTCCCCTTCCGCTGGTGAGTGCCGTTGGGCTCAAGCGGGGATCAATCAGCAGCGGTGAGGGCGTTGTGTAGGAGCGTGTGAATGGGATAAGTGGAGCTAGCGGGGTGTTGGTGAGTGCGTTGAAGAACACTTTCCTCTCTACGGAGTTGAAAGCGTTTTCAATGTCGAGTTGGAGTACTAGGCTGGAAGGTTGTGCAATGGTAAGATCTCTGACTGCGTGTATAACGAACTCAGCTCCGCCTGGGACTGCCACGCCGAATTGTTGGGGTAAGAAAAATCGCCTTGTTTCTCCTTGTAGTTCCGAGAGTGCACCCTTTGTTGCCAGCCGAAGCAGGGATTCCCCTATCACGATAGGGCGTAACCCCCCCTGGTTTCGCGAAGGCGATGAGGCGGGATGGTGAGAGTAGTGCTGCAACCTCGGTGGAGAGATTCGTCGAGAGAAGGTGTGTTACGGCGGAGTGCAGATGCCCTAGTACTTCGATGTTACTTAGGGCTGGGTCGCGGTAGTGTTCAAATGTTGACCCTGATGGACCAGCCCCAACTCCGCTGGGGCAGTCCCCGAGGACATCTGAGAAACTTTCCGCGGTGCACGAAAATTGCGTGGGTATTGTGTAGGTGTGGACCTAGTCGGGCAGCTCAATTTGGGGTTGGGGATGTTTCAATTCCAACTTCTCTCTCTCTCTCTCTCTCTCTCTCTCTCTCTCTCTCTCTCTCTCTCTCTCTCTTTAAGTGCACGTGACAGGCGGATACGAGATATGGAGGCGTGTAGCTGACCCCAGAGGTACTAGACAGCAATATCACTAGGACCATACATATCCTGATCACAGTGGAGCCCCTTTCTGCAGACGCCTCCGCCATGTTCCGTGCCGTGCGCTCCGTCCCTCACTGCCAGATCACGCCTCCCGGCAAGCCTGCCTTCATGGCGTCGATGCTCTCTGCCTTGAGAAAGTTCGTTGTTGAAATGTATTTGTATATATTTATATACTTGCCTACAGTACCGTCAGCCCCCGGATAGAAGCTGTCAGAATTATGTTTATTATAACTGCATGTAGTTCTAGCTGTAGTGTAGTTATTAAATTTGTAGGTGGTGCACCTCATCATTTGTTTCCTTTGCTATATGTACTTTGAAATCTATAGTGAAACCCATTCTCCCAACTCCTCTTCCAACTCACTCGATCCTCACCCTAGGCAAAACCCGCTCGACACCTAATCTCGGGCCTAGGCTCCTAAGCCTAGGCCCTAGTTTCAACTTAACTTTTCTTCGTGCAACTAGTATTTTAACAGAAGCGCCCCTGGGGTTATAAAAAAACACTGTTTTTTAGAGGGTGGGCTTACAATTGAGGATTTTTATAAGCGCTGGGGCTTATAAAATGACATATATGAAATCTAGTTTTTTTACACCAAAGTGTTCATCTCGTCCTTGCGATTTGAATCGAATCGATATTGTAGAGGGCTGGAATGTGAATCTCGCATAAATTGGCAGTGGCTGATTCTCTGCCAACACGCACAGTCAAAATGAGTCAGATTGACCCCATGACAGGTCATTCTGATTGGACGCGAAGGCATTGAGTCGCGTGATGGTGAACGGATTCGAATTTCTGAATGTGGGAATGTCAGAATATTATCTTATTGTTCTAGCCTGTAGTGGGGTGCTCTATAGCGAGTACAACCCTTCTAGGGTTTTGCTATTTGTATCCTCATTCTTGCTAGTTCAATCCTCTTTCTTCCTTCTAATTTTGTCATGCTATCAGAGCAGGTCGATCCCCCTGGATCGATCCTGTGGGTGGTCTTACCACCGCTTAGCTTCCGCTGCTACTACTGCTACTACTCTCTGAGCCGCACGCCCCGTGGCGTGCGGCATTTTTTCATCCCGCCGTGCGCCCCGAGGCGCGCGGCGGTTTTCTGCCCGCCGTGCGCCCCGAGGCGCGCGGCAGTTCATTGCCCGCTGTGCGCCCCGGGCGCGCGGCGGGCTTCTCCCCTACGTCGCGGCCCCGCCCCGATCGTCGCGGCCCCGCCCCTCGACGCGGCCCCGCTCTACGTCGCGGCCCCGCCCCGGCCCGTCGCCGCCCGTGCGCCTGCCCGGCTCGGCCCCGCCCTTCGTCGCGGCCCCGCCCCGGCCCGTCGCCGCCCGTGCGCCTGCCCGGCTCGGCCCCGCCCTACCTTTGCGGCCCCGCCCTATGTTGCGGCCCCGCCCTATGTCGCGGCCCTGCCCTACGTCGCGGCCCCGCCCTATGTCGCGGCCCCGCCCCGACCGTCGCGGCCCCGCCCCTCGTCGCGGCACCGCCCCCCCCCCCCC